GTGCAACAAGCTCGAGGATTCAAAATATTTTTGAATGAATTGTGTCATTTGAACAACAGATTTTTAAATTCCGAAATCAAAAATAAGTATTTCCTAATGTGTGTGTTTCGAGGAAAATGCAAAGGTAAATTCCTCACTTTTCCCTGTTAACAAAAGAAACTGAATTATTCTCATCCATAGGGAGGAAGCTTGGAATTGAAAAGCTAGTACCTTTCCTGACACTACTTTTGAAATGATTTTCTTGAGCGAACGGAATACAAAATAGTATTTCGCACTCTCGTAAGAAATACTCGCCAGGGCGTTCTTTTAGTTATTCGTATCTGTTTGAATTTATATTTATTTATTTTTAATGAATGGAATAGTTACTGCGATCTACTTGAAGATTCACGCAAGTTGAATAAAACGTCGAAATTAAGTTTCTGTTAAACAACAAAGGCTTCAAAAGTTCGGTTCAAAATCATTACAAAAAGCTTCAGAAATATTATTATTTAAGCACTTAAATGTAAAAGCAGAAATCTTTACTCTTTTCTGCAACTATTACTGAAATAATTTTGTAAGGTTTTTGTTGCGAAGGAAATTTATTTTGCATCGCATCACCCAGAAACATTTAAAACATAACGACTAAAGAATATTTCCCTGTCAAAAAAAATTAAACTTTCAAAGGATTCTTCTTCTTTATTGGCACTACAGCCCAGGGTGGGCCTTAGCCTGCAGCGCAATATTTCTCCAGACAGATGACCTAGACCTTGATTTTTCAGTCGGAGATCTTTAAAAGTTTTTAAATCATTCAGGACATCATCTATCCATCTTTTCTTTAAACAACCTATTGGCCTATTGTGCATGGACTTCCAATGCAAGATCTTTACCTCTCAGTTGTCAAGTGATCTCTCAATGCAACCAAATCTTGAAAGCCTCAATGCTTTGATGAATTTTACAATGTTCCTTTTGCTTGATAAGAACTTCCAGTCCATCACTAGTTCTTATTCTCCAACAATTATTAGTTGGCTGTGTTGGGTCACACACTTTGATAAGTATTTATCGTTCAAAAATTAGTAAATTATTGATATCTTTTTTGTGCCTAAGTTCAAGTCTCGCAGTTTCGATATTGTATTTTCTATTGTTTTTTTATTCAATAAATTAGTTGCACAAGCTGTACTTTATTTTATTTTAAGGATGATTTATATTAATAAAATAATTTAATTAAGTTAACTGTTTAATCCAAGAGTTAATATAAAATAAGCTCAATACATTTGTGGCAGTGTGGGGCGGGTTATATTGCTCGTCTCTGTGACTTAGGTTCACAGGTGCTAACTGGGTAACGTTAAATGAGTAATATCTCCGGCATCTTCCTAGGAGAAGGACGTAAAAGTTCAGTGCCTGCCATTAGAAAGAGAAATATTGAATATTGCTATCTAAACAAATAAAGTATTGCTTTTCTTGTAAGTTTTCAAGCTGAATGAGACCAAAAATGAGTCGAACGTTCGAAACTAGTTCTCAAGTCATAAAACGTATATGTACAGAAAGTACAGGATTTAACTCATACCTAGTTGAACAATATTTGACTTGAACAAATGAAATATTGCTTTTACATCGAAAACTGCTATGTAAACTATTGTAGTACCGTCACGTGGGGCTACTTTGTGCAAATTCGAATTTGGCACTTTTCAAGTGCTGCTATTCAGTATTATGTTTTATTCACGCTAAAAATGTGTGGAATTTGAAGATAGAAGAGTGTTAAAACAATCTCAGAGTGTGTTTTGTTTATCCAATGTCAACAACTTTCCGAGACCGTCGAACGTCGAAAAGTGTGTGTGGAAACTTTAGCTGTGAAATACAAAGACGTTGATAAAACAATTGTCATAAGTGCAAAATTTTTTATTTATATATTAATAAAAAATTATATCATGTGAGCGTTAAAAAATTTTGAAAATTAATAACAAATAAATGGAAAATGAAAAAAATGCACTGTGGGGCTACTTTGCGCAAAGTTTCATTCGTTTTTTTTTTCGACTGAAAAATTGTCAGACGTTATAAAAAAAATACCTGGAACGAGAAACTACCGTGATTACACTTTAGAAAAGCTGCAACAATGTTTGCAAGCAGTTGCTGGTGATATGTCGATTGCAGAAGCTTCTCGGAAGTACAAAATCCACAGAAACACTATCTCTAATAAAATTCACAAGAAACACGTGAAACGTGCTGGTAAACTATTATTTTTCTTATAAAAAGATTTTTCAATGAATTAATCAAACGATTTAACACATAAAAATATATTTTAAGGACATCAGGTGATTTTGACAGAAACTGAGGAGCAAGTTTTGTCATGTTCATTCAAGCATGTTATGTTTAAATTTATCAATATTATAAATGATGATGAATATGTAATAATTATTATTTTTGAAATTTCTACCATTTCAATGCTCAAAAATTTATATGGTTTCCTTTTGTTTAAACTCAAATGCTTTGAAATAAGCATTGTTTTTAAGAAAAAATTCTTTATGAAAAATGTTTTTTTAACGCTGAAAATTATTTTCAAACTAAGATCTTTACATATCTTGATGTTTTTGTTATTAAAAATGTCAACAATTAGCTTTTTAACAATTTTATATCAATATTTTACTAAAAACATGATTATTAAACTGAATTCCTATCGCTGCACAAAGTAGCCCCACTTGGGAGCTACTTTGTGCAAGGTATGTTTTGACTTATTATTTCTAAATATTACACACAAATAATGCCAATATTGATCAAATTCACTCGTCTGAGTCCAGTTATGAATATAATATAGATAAATTTTACTAAAGTTGGAATTAACATAGTTTTTTGCATGTCAAAGTTCAAAAACTGCGAAATCCTGCACAAAGTAGTCCCACATGACGGTATACTTTTCTATGCAAATTTTCCCGATGAATGAGACCAAAAAACCAGTCGAAAGTTCGTAATGATAAAACCGATAGTTCGCAGGCTATTTACCGAATATAGTACCTAGTATAGTACAAGTATAGTACCTAGTCGAACAATGTCTGACTTGGACTTGAAAAAATAAAGTATTGTTTATATATCGAAAACTGATATCTAAATTAATGAAGGTTTGTTTTCTATGTGAATTTTCACGCTGCATGAATTCAAAAATGAGTGGAAAGTTCAAAGCGATAAGACAGATAGTTCACAAGTTATAGTTTTATGCACAGAAAGTACAGTGTTCAAGGCTAAACGAGATTGATTTTAAGGCTAAACGAGAGCAAAAACGAGTCAATTAGACCAATTATTCACAAGTTGCAAGGCTTTCTTCTCTATAAAATTAGCTATTTTCGATTTTTACTCGTTTTTGCTTTTAACATTGCCATTTAGACAATCGAAGACTAGATACCTTATATTATTATATCTGTGACAGGCAAAGTATGATATGCCGGCATTATATATAATGCCGGATGCTATTTAGGCAAAGTATGAAATAAACGTCCTGATGAGGTTATTATGTAAGTGATGCGCATGTTACTGTGAATGACCGAAATCGGTGGTTGTTCACTTTCACCGGTGAATGTTGACAATCACATAGTCGCTTTGGTGAACGTCAGAAATATTTATTACATCCGATTTGATATTAATTTATTCGTGGATATAATTACATTTATTCGATATTTTAATACTTACTGACCATAGATTAGAAGAAACATCAGTGTTTAGAGTATCGGACAAATGTATACCGGGCAGTGGCCTTTGACCTTAAAAAAAATCAGTGTAGGGAGTACTGGGCAATGGTTTTTTAAGGTCAATAGCCATTGCCCGGTATGCCCTACACTGATATTTTTTAAGGTCAAGGGCCACTGCCCGGTATACATTTACCCGGTTTCATACTTTGCCTAAATAGCATCCTGCATTCTATATAATGCCTACGGAATGTGTGAAATATAAATCATTTCATACTTTGCCGGCTAGTTTTAGGCATTATATACATATAATGCCGGATTTCATACTTTGCAGGCTAGTTTTTGGCATTATATATAATGCCGGATTTCATACTTTGCCGGTAACATATATAATAACTCATTACTTCTTTAAAATCCTGTTGTTTCGAACTCTCCTCTACTTTTATACAACACCTAACCTAATGGTAAAAGAGGATAAGTCTAGAAAAAAAATATCCTTGCAATATAGTACAAATATTTACATTGAGGGGAGGTACATGAGTTCCAGAGTACACAACACTCTAAATTATAGTGAAAGCAGATACACCTGGAAAAAATATCTATACAATATAGTGCAATTATATACATTGGTTTGATGTGCATGAGATAAAGAGTATGCAACATTCTTCGTTATTGTAAAAGCGAATATATATACTATATATATATATACACAGTCCAGTCACATTAATGTGACCACCACCTACTTTCGACGTCAACGTGAAATAACCTATCACAAAGTGCAGGTGGCAGCACATTACAGTGTAGTGTATATATTGGATGTCCTAGGGCAGTGTTCCCCAACCTTTTTATCACTGCGGACCTGTCAACGTTTGATAATTTTACCACGGCCCACAGGAGGGGGGGGCATTGATTGTTTATATTTTAGATTATTTTGATTTTATAATTTTAATTTAATTGTATTTAAACATAGGTTTAAAATAAAATACAGTTACACCAAAAAATAAAGTGATTTAACATTTTAACTTACTTGAACGTTACATCAATGAGAACCCTGAGCTTGTTTCTTTGCAATAAGACGGCTCCATCTGGGGGTAATCGGAGACAATGACACTCGAAGTGTGTTGCTTATCTCCAGTTTATTCCGTTGCTTTGTTTTGGTTGCTGTTACTGCAGAAAATCCCGCTTCACACAGATAGGTTGTCGGAAATGGCATTCTAGCGGGGGGAATAGGGATTTAAGTGCTGTGGTGGCAATCTCGGGGTATTCTGCCAAAACTTTAATCCAGAACACCGGCAGAGTTGTTGTTTCGAACGTAGTCTTAAGACCGCCGTCATTTGCAATCTCCAACAGTTAACCTTTTTCTTGCATTGACAAGCTAGATTCACCCGATTTGTTGGCAAATGGGTCGCGGATCCATTCCTTACCAGTTCGTGGGTCTTTTGTGGTTGGGAAGTAGCGCTCGAACTCTTTTAAAAGCAAAGACAGGTGATCGTGAACCAACTGGGAGAATGAATCTTCAGGCTCTGTCTCGCCTAAAATACCCGCTAATGTCTGAAACATGTCGAAAATGCCTCTGTTCACGCGTCGTCCCCATAACTCCAGTTTGGCTTTAAAGGCAGCTACTTTGTCAGCCAACTTGAAAACAGTGTCATTTTTCCCTGAAGGCACAGATTGAGTTCATTCAGCAGGTTGAATATGTCACACAGGTAAGCCAGTTTGGTGACCCATACCTTGACACTGAAATGTGCTGCCAGCGGTGACTTCTTTTCTAAGAGAAATCTTTGCAATGGCTCTCGCAATTCAAATACTCTCAGTAGTGATTTTCCTCTGGATAACCATCTTATTTCTGTGTATAACAGAAGGCATCTGTACTCTGCGTCCATCTCCTCACAAAGCTGTTCAAACAGGCGCGAGTTAAGGGCATGTGCTTTGATGTAGTTAATAACTTTAACGACATCAATCAATACGCTGTTAAATTCTGGTGACATTTTTCGGCTTGCTAGCACTTCCCTGTGAATGAGACAATGTGTAGCTTCACTCTCAGGTGCAACTTCCTTAATCCGAGCAGTTAAACCAGATAGACGTCCGGTCATAGCAGCAGCTCCGTCTGTGCATATGCCTACACAAAAGGACCATTTTAGTTGTTTTGATATATAACCACCCAGTGACTTGAACAGTTCTGCTCCTGTGGTGTTGGTTGGCAAAGATAGTGCACATAACAAATCCTCATGCACATCTTCCTGATATAGATATCGCACATAAACAAGTAGTACTGTCTTGCTGTCAATATCTGTAGATTCGTCAACCTGGAGTGCGTACCACGGTGATGCATTAATCCTCTCCAACAATTGCTTTTCAATGTCTTCGGCTATTTCCTCAATGCGCCTAGTCACAGTGCTAGCCGACAAAGGCACATGTGCTATCTTTTCCACAGCAGCTTCTCCCATTATTTCACGGCAAATGTCTTTAGTGGCGGGCAAGATTAATTCTTCACCAATATTGAATGGCTTTTTAGCTTTAGCAATGCGGTTAGCCACCAAATATGATGCTCTTAGTGCACTCTCCTTTATTGATGTGGTGGCCATCATAAATTTTTTCTGTACTTCGTGTTCCCGTTTTTTTCTTTCAAAATACTCCAGGGGCTTGTCTTTTAATCCAGGGTGCTTGGCGTTCAAGTGGCGAAGAAGTTTTGAAGGTTTCATTGCATCATTAGAGAGTTGATCGCCGCAAACTATGCAGAGCGGTTTTGGTTTGTGTGAATCGCCTGTCCCGACAAAACCATACTTCAAGTAGGACTCATGGTATTGTCTGCTAAAAGTTGCATGTTTCTTTGATGTTGAAGGCTCTTCGGTCTCTTTACTGAGCCTTTTCTTTTTTCCAAGGAAACTTTCTAAGGACGTTTGTTTTGTATTCATGATAGCTAACTTGTGAGCTAAATTTGTGCAGACACAATACACACGTACACCAAGCACTGTTAAACCTCAGAAAGTACCGGTGAACAGAGAGAGGAGTGATAGACACTTTCTTTTTACAAAAAACAAACAAATTCGCATAAAGCACATAAAACAGTAGAGAGGAATCATGGTCACGTGGTCTTTGGGCGACTAAATGGCAGACGAGCCAGCTTCTCTTTTATAGCCTTACTATACACTCTCGCTGTGTGAGGCGTCAGAATCGAGAGAAAAGACGAAGTTCTTTATTAGTTCCAATGCAAATGTCGCTTCGCGTTTTCTTTTTTTATTTATGATATTTACAGTTACGATTATTGTTTTTTTCTTTTTATTAAAACTAATTGAATGAGAAAATAGTTGCAGAAGATTTCTTTTTTTTTTCTTTTTTAAAACATTAAAAAAATTATGTTACTACCTTCGGGGGCATATTTTTTTTAAATAAATAAAATTTTAATGGAACACAGATATTCTGATGCAAAATATTGCTAGATGACCTTAAGCTATATATGAGTATGTAAATCTAACTTGAGCTTTGTTATTTGAGAAAAAACATTGTAAAAATGCAAAGAAAAATCAAAATAAAGCACTCGGAGACAATATTGACAATAATATAATGATACATAATTAAAAAAA